TCAATCTAATATCTAATTTGCTTTCCTTTCTGATTCATAAATGGGACAGCCTCCACTCTACTAAATAGAGTGCACACTCACACTGGTAATAGCAGGACAGTGGGTTTGTAAAGTGAGAACAAGGAAACACAGTAGAAAAAAACACTGCTTGGCTAGCATCACATTACTTTTTCCTTCTTTATTGCCTGGGGATTTAACCCAGGGCTTTGGACAGGCTATGCAAGTGCTCTACCACTGACCTAAACTCCCAGCCCCACTTCAGATTACTGTTTTATTTGTTTTGCTTCATTTTTGTTTTTGAGACAAGGTCTCTCTGTAGCACAAGCTGGCCTGGAACTCATTATGTAGACCAGGCCTGGCTTCTATCTCACAGAGATTCACCTGCCTCTGCCTTCTGAGTGCTGAGATTAAAGGCCATGTGCCACCATGCTTATGTGTATAAGTGTTTTGTCTGCATGTATGTAGGTGTACCATGTATGTGCAATGCCTAGGAAGGCTAGACGAGGGTGTCCAATCCCCTAGAACTGGAGTTGCAGCTGGTTATCAGCCGTTATATGGATGCTAGGAACTAAACCTGGGTCCTCTACAAGGGCAAGAAGCACTCTTAACTGGAGCCATTTCTCCAGCCCCCAGCTTACTTTATGTAAGGATTAAATCAGAGAGAGAATTTACTACACTGACTAAAGTTGACCAGAATCACCTGTTTTTAGTAACTTGTTTAATTTGGTATCTATCTGCCTCTCTAAATATTGTTTGATGATGTAGGATTCTTTCTTTCTTTTTCTTTTTTTTTTTTTTCCTATCTTTTTGAGACAGGGTCTCCCTGTAGCCCCAGCTGGCCTGGAACTCGCTATGTAGACCAGGTTGGTCTCAAACTCAAAAAGATCCTCCTGCCTCTGCCTCCCAAGTGCTAGGATTAAAAGCATGCACCACCATGCCCGGCTGATTATGTAGCATTTTTGCACAAGTGACTCCAATTTGAGTTGGTCTGGTTCTTGGGGCATAGTACAGGTGCTCAGCCCAAACAATGGCCTTCTATAATTTTGTTTAACAATGGAATAAAGAACAAAAATCTCCACTAGAATTATTTTCTCCATCAGGCATTTAAGAATAGGATTTGAGGGCCTGTGAAATGCTGGGAACCTGAACAAATTTTCACTGTAATCTCCAAAATATGAAAAGAAAACTATGAACATTAGTTTTGTTTTTTTCTCTTTAAAAAATTTTGCAGTTTGGGGGCTGGAGAGATGGCTCAGTGGCTAAGAACACTTACTGTTTTTCTAGAGGACCTGGGTTTGATTCCTAGCACACACATAGCAGCTAACAACCATCTGTAACTACAATTCCAGGGGATCCAATACCTTCTTCTGACCTCTTCGGACATTGCACAAATGTGGTATACTTACATGCAGGCAAAACACAAAAATAAAAAATACACAAAATTTTATACTTTGTGTATATAATGGGGATATGAGAATGCCACAGGCTGCATGTGGAGGTCAGAGGACAGGGATGTATCTCAAGTTGTCTGGCTTAGTAGCAAGCGTCCTCACCCTCTGAGTCATCTTGTTGGCCCTGTTTTTGTTTTCTGAGACAGAGTCTCACATAGCCCAGGCTGGCCTTGAACTCCTGAGCCTCCAGTTTCCACCTCCCAAGTTCAAGGACTATAGACATGCACCATTGCATGGACTAAACAATATTATTTTATTAAAATATGTAAATGTAGCAAATTTCAACAATTAAAGGCAACTCAACTATATTATTATTTATGAATTATATTTACTGAGGGATTTACCAAATATGTCTGGTATAGAACAGGAACCTAAGAGGCAGGTAATGAAGGTAATGCAAATAATGCAGGTAATGCAGTTTAGCAGTAGAGTAACTACCCAGCAGGCTATAATTTTTTTTTTTCAAAATACAGTCTCCTTGTAGCCCCAGTTGGCCTGGAACTTGCTTATAGACAAGGCTAGCCTTGTTCTCACAGAAATCTGCCTGCTTCTGTCTCCCAAGTGCTGGGATTAAAGGTATGTACCACCATGCCTGGCATTATTTTTTTTTAAATAATCCATATGTAGCCCAGGCTAGCCTTGAATTTGCTACAGCTGAGGCTAGCATTGAACTCTTAATCCCTGTTCCACCTCCCAGGTGCTGGGATTACAGATGTGTGCTACCATGCTTGGCCACAGGCTCTAGATTCTAATCCTAGAACAGGAGAACAAAATAGATCTTAAAAGTTTTAAAGGACAGTACTGGAGAGATGGCTCAGCCATTAAGAGCACTGACTACTCTTGCAGAGGACCCAGGTTCGATTCCCAACACCCACATAGTGGCTAACAGCCATCCATAACTCCAGTTCCAGGGTATCCGACACCTTCTGACTTCCACAGGCATTGCATGACACAAGTGCACTTACATGCAGGCAATACACTCATATACATAAAATAAATAAAATATCTATAAAAATAAGAAAGTTTTGCTGGGCATGGTGGCACATGCCTGTAGTCCCAGCACTTGGGAGGCAGAGGCAGGCAGATCTCTGTGAGTTCAAGGCCAGCCTGGTCTACACAGTGAGTTTCAGGACAGCTGAGGCTACAGGGAGACCTTATCTCAAAAAGACCAAAAAAAAAAAAAGAAAGAAAAGAAAGTTTTAAAGAAGTCCTATCTCTGCCTAGTTTGCTCAAAGGGTGAAGCCTTCCTTGTCAAGATTTCATCCTCTTTTATCCTAAATGTCCTTGTCTTCAAATAGGGATCATCAAAAAGACATACAGCTTCAAAATAGTAAGGACAAAAAAATGTATCATTAGAAGGATGGGTTGTAAGTTATAAGATAGTTTTCGCACTTGATTGCTTTTACTGGAGTCCTGAGTGCTTGCTTTTTCATTTCAATTTCCCAGTCAGATGGAAGTGGGGTGGCACATGCCTCTAATCCCAGCATTTGGGAAGTAGAGGTGGGAAGATTACAAGTTGGAGCCCACCCTGGGCTATACATTGAGACCTTATTTCCAGAGGAAAAGTATCGATTTCCTAGTCTATCAACTGGAAGGTCAACTTCAAGGACATTATGTTATATATGTGTATATTAATTTAGTTTATTTTATGTGTATGAGTATTTTGCCTGCATGTACGTAAGGGCATCATGTGCATGAAATGCCCATGGAGGCCAGAAGAGAGCGATGTATCTTCTAAAACCAAAATTTCAGACACTTGTTAGCCACCATATGGGTGCAGGGAATCAAACCTGGGTCCTCTGCAAGACCAGCCAGTGCTCTTAAACTACTGAAGCATCTCTCCAGCTCCTTTATTATACTTAACTTGAAGAAGTGCCATTCACAGAAAATACAGCGTTAGTGATGCACTCCTGAAATGTTTGCTGGGTGAATGAATGGAATCCCATGGGTATTCCACTCCTGCCCCAACACTCCAACCCTAGCTCCTCTTCCAGGATAAAGAGAAAAAAACAACTAGAGATGATGAGAATGGATGAGAAAGAAAGGCAATGATTAACTACATAACTCCAAAGCTTCAATCAGAGTTGGGTGCTAGTGGTTATGCAGGGAGATGCATTAAGGTAAATGTCCAATTCCCAAGGGTCTTTATTATTGTTGTTATTATTATTTATTCCTCTACTTCAGTAAGGACCTATGCTGACAGCTCCAGATTAGGGATTCAGAGAATTTCTCAGATTTTTTTTTAATTTTTTTTTTATGTTTGTGTGTGGAAAGGGGGTTGCCTGAGAAAGACAGAAGGTCTTGGATTCCTTGACGTTTAAATGAGTGGGGATTAGCTGGGCATGGTGGTGCACACCTTTAATCCCAGCACTTGGGAGGCAGAGGCAGGTGGATCTCTTTGAGTTCAAGGCCAGCCTGGTCTACATAGTGAGCTCCAGGCCAAAAAAAAAGACAGAAAAAAAAAAAAAAAAAAAAAAAAAAAAAAAAAAAAAAGAGTGGGGATTATGAACCACCCAATATGGGTGCTGGGAATGGAACTCAGGTCATCTGCAAGAGTAATACATCCTCTTAATTACTGAGCCATCTCTCCAGCCCTCAAGAGTTTTATGATTGCTGTTGTGCGTATGTGTGTGCATGATGTGTGCCTGCATGTGCTACGGTGCTTGTGTGGAGGTCAGAGGACAACTGTATGGGATTGGTTCTCTCCTTTAACCTTCACCTGAGCTCTGGAGATAGAACTCAGGTTTTTAAGCGAAGGAAGGGACAGGGAAGTAGGAGGCCTCTTCTGAGTCCAGTTCCACATTAGTGCTGAAGGTGAACAGGAAAGGTCTCCATCCCTTATGGAGAAAATAAGATGTTGCATATTACCCTGCCGATGTTAGCAATCACCCCCAGAAGGTGGTCTTCAATTGATAACAGAAAAATGAGCAAAAGCTAGAGTAACAGTGGTATAAATGGGGCCAGGACAGGAGGCCTGGGGGCCATGGTCCTTTGAAGTGGAGACCAGCTGGTCAGATCATACAGAGTTGTGGAGTTAGAATTTAAAGAATGCTAAGAAGGAAAGTGACTAGGTCAAATTTGAATTTTTAGAAAACGGAGCGCTGACTGGAGGGGATAAAATAAGTGACTAGGAAATCCGTTATGAACTTCGGCAGCCGGGCTGTGGTGGCGCTCGCCTTTAACGGGAGACTGAGGCAGGTTATCTCTTTAAGTTCAAGGCCAGCATGGTCTACATAGGGGATTCCAACCAGCTGACTCAAAACAAAAGAACTACTGCAACGGTGAGAAAGACAGCAGAAGAAATGGAGAGAAGTGGCGCGGCAGATCCATTTGTAACTGAAATCTAACAGGGCTGGTGGCAGAAGGCGGCCGGCTGGAAACAAAGAGACCCCGGAGAAGAGAGAAAAAGTTCACTTCAATTCGAGCCTAAGGCACCGACGCCCCTTCCCCCTCACTTTTGTTTTAATACAAGGAGATAACAAAAGGGTCCCGCCCACAAAAATCCGGGGACTTTTATTTAAAGTGGGCGGGCATCAGCGGAGAGTGCAACGACTAACGCGGACACTTCCGGCTGTTACGGAAGTGTGGACTCTGTACGCTCCCAAGCTCCTCCCACAGCGGCGGGCCAGGGTGACGGGATGGCTTGGCGTGCCGCGCGCCTAGTACTGCTAACCGCAGCGGTCGGGCTCGCGTGCGGCTCCCAGGGTGACCGCGAGCCGGTGTACCGCAACTGCGTTCTCGGGTGCGAGGAGCGGAACTGCTCCGGGAATGCACTGAAGCACTTCCGCTCCCGCCAGCCAATCTACATGAGCCTAGCCGGTAAGCACCTCCCTGGGTAAGCCCCGCCCTCTGGATTTAGCCCCGCCCATTGCCAGCCTCTACTCTGCAATCACTGAACCTCAGTTTCCCCATGGATTCCTTTGTGAGTGAGTGGAGCCTCCCGAGTGTGGTGGGGGTCACCTGAAGCTTCACTCTATTTATTCAAATTAATACTTGTTTAAAGCTGTCTAGAAGCCCTGTGATAACCCACAAGGCAGACCGTGGTCCTCCCCTTCTGGGCTTATAGACCCCAAGGGAGGGAACTAATTAGTCGTCTCAAGGAGCGAATGATTTGAGCCCTAATGGACCCATAGATTAAACATTAGATGCATTTGGAAGAGGAAGGAATGCACTCTGCTTTAAGGCATGGGGGCAGCGAAGATCATGGGACATTTTAAGGAAGAGGCAATTGAATTGGTAGGTAAAACTTGGATATGGATCATGTGACTATGAGGACCTACACGGGACAGATGTCACAGTAGCTCAGTTAACTTTCACCACAACCCTTTGAGGTAGTTTCTCTAATCCATTTTACAGATGGGGACATTCAGAGAGGTTAAGTCCCTTGCCCAAGGTCACACATTCTATAAAGTGGTGAAGCAGCATTTCCAGTTCTGGCCTCCTTGACCACCAGGTCATCCTTACTCTTTTCCATTCCAGACAGAGGATGCAGAGAGAGAGTAGAGGTCCTGGGCAGACATAGGTACACTCAGCAGCTTGGCTCACCCAGAGAACAGGGAGAGTCAGGGGGGAGGGTTTGGACTTCATTTTCACAGGAGGTGGGAAGCTAGCAAGGGCTCCTCCCTGGCAAGGCAAAGTAAACCCTGCTTTCAGGAAGACAAAGTATAAACCCAGGTCTCTGTGAAGGAGCCCACCAGAGGCCAAGAGCCCTGTCTTGGATAAAGGGAGAAGAAACTGCTGTCTTTGTTCCCAGTGCTAAATTACGTTTATGCACACTCCTCCTCAGTATGTGCCTACCCTTTCTATGCAAGTGGGAAGTAGATTCTTCTGGTTCTTTCCAGCTTTGCTGGACACCCCCCCCCCACTGGCCCAGCCTTGCGTCACTCTTCGTTACCTGCTCTACTTCTGCCAGATTAAAGCTCAGTTCTAACAACCAATTATATCACTGCCCAGCTTAATAAGATAAATTGAAAGCTCTCTGCTTCCAGTCAAACTCAGTGCAAGCCATGATTGTGGAGTTAAGTTTGTCCAGAAACAGCCTAGTTTCTAGAACTTCCACAACTCTCTTAAATATATCATCTTTAGCAAACCAAATCCTCCCCCTCTGCCCCTTTGTTCTTGGCCTCCATTTGTGCCTGGGCTGTACCAGGCTGCCTGTGCCTCCCTGAGCTGGGAAGTCCACAGCTCTGTGTATCTGTTTCAGGCTGGACTTGTCAGGATGACTGCAAGTATGAGTGTATGTGGGTCACTGTTGGCCTCTACCTCCAGGAGGGTCACAGAGTGCCTCAGTTCCATGGCAAGGTGAGTTGAAGGATCAGGGAAGGTTTGTGGTGGTTGTATGGTGGGAGCAAGACACCCTGCAGTTGGCCCACACTATCTCAGCAGTCTGAGGTGGGGAGTCACAGGGGGTGGGTGTTTGGGGCAGGTACCTGTGCTCAAAATTTGTTGCTTTTTCTATGGCACTAATGTGTCCTGCTTCTGAATTTGTAGTAAGAATACCTGGGAGCCTTCATGTGTCCTCACAGTGGTGCTGGGCTTCTTGTAGGTAACTGAGATGCCCAGTTTGCACCAGAGACAAATTTCCATGTTTCCCATTGCTTCTCCAATGGGAATTCAAATCACCAGAAATACCCATCAGATTGCCCAGCTTTCTGGTGCCTTTCAACCCAACATTATCTCACTTTGGCCTGTGGAGGTTGTCAGGAGATAGGTATTTACCCCTATTTGCCACAGAGCAAGCTGGCACTCAGAGAACTGTGGGAAGTGGTTGAGGAGGGATGGAACCTAGATCTAGATGGGAGATCTATGTGTTTCCACCACTCCTGCCCACTGTCCCTAGAGTCAGGCTCCCATTGCAATGTGCCTGCTGGCCAGGGAAACAATATGACACTAATCAGGGACTTCTGTAGAAATGCTCACTGGCTTGAGAGAAACTGAGGCTTTGGCCAAAGTCCCTTGCTGAGGAACCAGCAGGATACCTGTTGATGCTACTGAAAAGGCCAATTAGGGATTGCCTCTCCCTCAGACCCCCTCCATCTGCTCCTTTTTCAGTGGCCCTTCTCCCGGTTCCTGTTCATCCAAGAGCCAGCTTCTGCTGTGGCCTCACTCCTCAATGGCCTAGCCAGCCTGGTGATGCTCTGTCGCTACCGTACCTCCGTGCCAGCCTCCTCCCCCATGTATCACACCTGCATGACCTTCGCTTGGGTAGGTAGCCTGACAGGAAGCTGCTGTATGCCCTCCCTAGGTAAAGGAGCTTTTAGGTCCCCACTGATGGGCTTCTAGCCACCAGCTTCCTCCGTTTTCTAGGGCTAAGGTTGTATCTGTGAGGTGGAGAAAAGGGAGGGTGCAGCATCAGGCCTTACATTCTAGAAGAGTGCCAGGCTCCTTTGCTTGGGAAGGAGGGAGGTCACACACTGTTCTTCTCTTCAGTGAGGGAGCCACTAAAAGCTTCAATCAGGCAGTTTACAAACACAAATCAGATTTGGGCATAGTGGCACACACTTTTAATGCCAGCACTTGGGAGGCAGAACCAGGCGGATCTCTGTGAGTTTGAGGCCAGCCTGGTCTACATAGCAAGTTTAGGCCAGCTAGGGCTATAGGGAGACCCTGTCTCAAAAATGCCAAAAAAAAAAAAAAAACCAAAAACAACCCCCCTAGGGATACATGCGGACAAGAGGAATTCTACTCAGTGGTAAAGAAAAATAAAATGAAATTTTCAGGTAAATAGATGAAACTAGAAACTGTTATACTAAGTGAAGTAACAAAAATACCAAAAAAAAAAAAAAAAGCAAAAACAACCCTCATGGATGAGAGATGGATAATAGAGCGCATGCCAGGATCACAGGTCTTCCCAAAACCCCTCTGGAGGATTGAAATGATTTCTGTTCCTGCCCAGAGTTCTGACTAGAGCTCAGCCTAGTCCTAGTCTGTACCTGGAAGAGCCCAGGTGGAGGAGCCTAGGTGTGGTGCATCTGAGTGGGAAAGCGCTCTCACCCTCACAGTATGGCTGATCTGAGGAGCCAGAATCCAGGGCCTGGAATTATGGGAGAAATATGAACTGGGGTACAGAGAGGCAATGGGTAAAAGTAAGAAGTTTCAATGAATGTCTGTGTAGCAGGACTTTCCCTGCTAGACTTAAAGAAAAAATCCCTACTGGCTCATCTTACTGCTATCAGAGCCTCCATTCATCCATGCTGTGGGCACCTGCTGCATGCCAGGTACTTGGCTAGGTGCTAGAGACCCCAAAGCACGTAAAAACAGACAGGTCCCTGCCCTCTGGTACTAGTCTCATAATCACATGATTGGACGTCAAAGTACATCTGAGTTCTTCTGTGAAGAAGCTCAGAGGAGGGAAAAGCTGTAGGGTGTGTGATGGGACTGGGCCGGTACAGAGCAAGAAGAGAAGGCTAACCCTGCAGGTGCAACAGACATGGAGAGTTGAAGGTGTCTGGGTAAATCTGAAGAGAACAGGGGAATCTTCTAGACAGAAGACAGAATGTATATAGCAGCAGAGGTTAAGGGTCATCTGAAGACCTGAAAGGCCAAGAGCCTTAGGGCAGGACAGGAAGGAGACAGATATCTGTGCTTCTGAGTATTGCTGACTGGACAGACAAGAAGAGAAGGCTGCCTCTGGGTGTCCCCAAGGGCAGCCAATAGCACAGGTGTGCTCAGGGGAGCAGATTGCGCCTGACTTGGGAGGTGGACATGTAAGGAGGCTGTCCTTCAGTATTTGTCCTTTGATATTTATAGTAATTGTTAAGAGTTATGGAATAACAGCAAAGAAACGGAAAAGAGTATGGGACACTTGGGCAGAGTGGCCCACATGTGGAATCCCAGGACTCAGGAGGCTGCGACAGAAGGAGTTGAGTTTGATGTCACCATTTAGTGAGACCCTGTTTCAAAAAATATTTTTTTTTATTTGAAACAGAGGTTATACTGGATGTGGTGGCTCATGCCTGAAATCCCAGCACTAGAGAGGCAAAGGCAGGCCAATCAGTATGAGCTCAAGTCCATCCTGGACCACATAGTGAGTTCTATAGTGGATTCTAAGACAGCAAGAGCTACAGAGTAAGACCCCATCTCAAAAACAGACAAAACACCAGGACCTGTAGAACATAAGGCATGTGGTGCTGGGCTTCTCCTGAACACTCGACCAACATTTCCTCATATAATCCTCATACACTTTGTGCTCTGGGTAAGGCTCAGAGAGGGGTACACATGCTTTGGCCCCATTTAACAGCTAACAAACAGAGGCCATAAGGCTAGCCTCTGGCACTAGCACAAGCTGGCTCTAGGACAGGCTGATCTCCTGAGGGCAGAATCAGATTCTTGTGGAGACAGCAGCTCTGACCTAGGGAGCTAAGCTTGCCTCTTGGGAGGCAGGAGTCAGGCAGCACCCAGGACGGCTCAGACCCAGAGCTCTAGGAGTTGTAAGGCACAGTGCAGATCCTCTGGTGGGGACATATGCCAGAGTTGAGGGGGACTCCCCCCCCGCCATTGCAAGTCCTTTCAGGGTTCAAGAGCCAGCTTCTGCTGTGGCCTCACTCCTCAATGGCCTGGCCAGCCTCAGAACCTACTTTGGTTGAATGATGTGGTTTTTAAAATTTTATGTGTGTGTTTTGCCTGCATGTATGTAAGTGCACCAAGCTCACACAGTGCCCACAGAGGCCAGAAGAGGGCATTAGATCCTCAAGAACTGGAGTTATGGATGGTCATTAGCTACCATGTGGATACTAGGATCTGAATCCAGGTCCCCTGCAAGAGTAGCCACTGCTCATAACCACTGAGCCATCTCTCCAGCCCCTAGTTTTTGTTTTTTGTGAATCAGGGTCTCACTGTGTAGTCCAGGTTGGCCTTCAACACTCAGTTCTCCTGAGTATTGGCATCACAGGTAGGTACCAATGCATTCTATCCATCTGCTTTGGATTTCACACTTGATCTTGAGCTTTATAGGTTTCTGCAGGAGGGAGGGATCCTGAGTGGAGTGGCTAGAAGGTGTGGAAGTGCACCTTGTCCTGGGCTGGGTCTTCTAGAACAATTGGGGCCCTGATTTACCCCGACTATGGGTAGGAGAGTGCTTCGCCAGCTGTAGGTTCTGTCCTGGGGCAAGGGTCTCCTCAGTCTTTCCTCTGACAGATGAGGAAATCCTGTCCCCCAGTGGAGCCCAAAGCTTCAACATATGAAGGTGGCCCTGCCTTGCAGTTTAGACCCAGGTGTGGGCTGGGCATGAGCCAGGCAGGGCTGGGGAACCTGCCAGAGCTCTGCATGCCTGTGGTCCTTGACATCATGGAGTAGGGGCCCTGGTTGTCTGCCAAGCTAGGAGACCAAACCACTTCCCTACTTTCTTCTAGTAGTGAAAGGTCCCCAAGTGTAGACAAGAGATGAAGTCACAGAGACTGATTGTGTCACCTCTGTTGAGGAAACTACAAGAGAAGAAATAGGTTAAGGCTATAGCAGAATGAAGGTTACACTTCAGGAAGGACTTCCCAATTATCAGACAAGAGCCAGTAGAACATGCAATGTTAGGAAAGAGAATTCTTTTTAGTATTTGCATTTATTTATTTATTATGTGTGGGACAGGCATGTACCATGCCTTGTATGTGGAGATCAGAGAACAACTTGAGGGAGTTGGCTCTCTCCTTCCCATGTGAGTCCCAGGATCAAACTCAGATCATCCAGCTTGACACAAGTGCCCTTACCCTCTAAGCCATCTTGCCAGCCTAGGAAGTTTGTTGTTGTTGCTGTTGTTTGTAACAGGGTATCATTTTGTAGCCCTGGCTATCCTGGAACTTGCTATGGACACCAGGCTGGCCTCAGTCTCAGAGATAGTCTGTCTCTGCCTCCTGAGTGCTGGGATTAAGAGCATGCCTCACCACACTCAGGATCCAGGAATCTTTTTTTGATAATGGAAGAAGTTCCCCCTCCCCACTGGAGTGAACCCCAGGCAGGCTTGCCCTGCCTGAGACCCAAGTGAGACACTATGGCCTGGAGAGGGGCAGGATGGCAGCAGGCATCATATTTAACATTCTGCCTCCCCCACTTCTGAAACACCAGGCTATTTAAAGACCCACTTGTCCCCACCACGATGGTGTCAATGACAGCCCGAGCACTGGGGCTTAACACTGGGGTCGAATTCCTGACAGATCTGGCTCACTTGGCATCCAACCAGTTTCACGGCTGTGATATTTTTGTCTGTTTTCATATTTGCCAGTAGACTGAAACACTGAAACAGCCTCCTGCCTCCCTCCACCAGCCGCCCTGTCCCTTCGTCCCCACCACCACTGCACCCCGCCCTGTGTCCTCCACTCTCTGTATTTACATGAATATCTCAGTGCCCTCTGGGCCTTACTGTGTTGGAACCCCCCCCCTCACTCCCCCTCCCCCAGCCACACATACACACATTGCATTCAGCAGAGGAGTCTGGAACAGTTGTGCATCTGTGTCTGGGAGCTTCCCCTCCCTTCCCTGTCCATCTGTCCCCTGCTTATATCTGACTACAAACTCTAAAGAGAAACAGTACTGGAACTGTACTGATGGGTCAGTAGCTCAGGAACCAGAGCAGGGGCTCTTCCCATAGCTGAGGTATCTGTACCTTGGGAACCAGAGACCTTGGATACTAATGGTTTGACACTGAGCTTGACCTTGAGCTTGGTGACCCTTGAGGAAAGAGAAGTTGGAAGTCAGGTGAAGAGAAGGTGAGATCAGCCTGCTGGACATGATGTGATGAAGGAAATGGAAGTTCATGGGACACCTGCTGTGTACTGGCCAGCAGCAACCACTGATGGAGAGGCTCCTCTGTGTGGGGCACATAGGCATCCTTACAGCCCTCCTATGATGGAGTGCTGTTTCAACCCTGTTTTGTGGTAAGGCCACTAAGCTCACAGAAGCTCAGTTACTTGTTTAAAAACATATAGCTCGGGGCCAGAGAGATGGCTCAGCAGTTAAGAGCGCTGAGTGCTCTTGCAGAGGACCCAGGTTCGATTCCCAGTACTCACATGGTGGCTACGAATCGTCCTTAACTCCAGTTCCAGGGAAATCCGATTCCCTCTCCTGACCTCCAAGGCATTGTATGACACAGGTGCACTCACATACATGCAGGCAATACACTCATACAC